ATTATTATTATTTTTGCTGAGGAAGATTGGCCCTGAGCTAACATCTGTGCCAATCTTCCTCTATTTTGTATGTGAGATGCCACCACAGCATGGCTTGATGAGTGGTGTGTAGGTCCGTGCCTGGGGTTCCAAACCTGCCCTGGGCCGCCAAAGCGGAGCATGCAAACTTAACCACTATGCCACCAGGCCGGCTCTAGTTTCTGAATTTTAATCATTTATCAGTCTCAGATGTTGCAAATGTCTTCTCTCACTCTGTCGATTAAATATTAACTTCATCCATGATGTCTTTCCTCGACCAGAAACTTTCGACGTATCAAATTCATCAAACTTTCTCCCCTTACGGCTGACACTTTTGAAGTTCTGTTTTAGAAGTCCTTCCCCACCCCAAGTTCCTGTTCCTGTCATCACTGGCTGCGTGACAAACTACGCTAAACTTGGGGGTGTCAAACAGTAGTCATTTGTGACATGTCTCTCTCCTGGTTCTGGGAGCGTCGGGGCTCGCTGAGCTCCTCTCCCTGGGGGTCTCTCCTGCTGTCACAGCCAGATGGTATCTAGGGCTGGAGTCCTCTCCCTCCGGGCTCTCTCACCCCTGCGTCTGGCAGTCGATGCTGGCTGTCGGCTGGGACACCAAGCCTCCCCATGCGCCTTGGGCTTCCTCACATCACGGTAGCTGGATTCCAAGAACAAGCATGCCGAGAGGACTGAGCTGGAGCCTTCTATGACCCAGCCTCAGAAGTCACTGTTACGGACTGAATGTTTGTGTCATTCCCCTGCCCCCCGAAATTCCTGTGTTGAAGCTCTAACCCCCAAAGTGATGGTATTTGGAGATGGGGCTATGGGAGGAGACTAAGTTTAGATGGGGTCCTGAGGGCAGGTCCCTGGTCTGATGGGACTAGTGTCCCCATAAGAGGAGACACCAGAGAGCTTGTTCTTTCTCTTTGTGACATATGAGGACACCCAAGAAGGCAGCTGTCCCCACGCTAGGAAGAGAGTCCTCACCGGAACCCCTCCATGCTGGCATCCTGATCTCAGACTTCCCAACCTCTAGAACTGTGAGAAAATTGCTTTCTGTTGTTTAAACCACCATCTATGGTATTTTTTTGGCAGACTAAGACAGCCACTCGGCACCACTTCCATCACATTTCATTTCATAGAAACAAGTCGCCGAGGCTGGTCTGCACTCAAGACAAGAGGAATGAGACGCCACTTTTTGATGGGAGGCATGTCAAAGAATGGGTGGACAGGTCACAGTGATATTCTCCTCCGTTTTCTTTCACGCCACAGTTTTATTCTCTACGTTTAGGTCTTTATTCCATTCAGACTCTACCTTTGTATACGGTGTGAGGTAAGGATCTATTTTTCTTCTCCATATAGTTAGCCAGTTTTCCCAAAGCCACAATGAGCAACCCATCTTTTCCCCACGGGAGGGCAGTCCCACCTCTAGCATTTTGTCATGTCCCTATCTGTGCCTGGGAGTCAGTTCTGTTCCTTCTGTGTGTTCACGTGTTCTTGCACCAAGCCCACACTGTCTTTGCTGCCTGTCTTCATATTTCATAGGGCCAGCCCTCCCCCGGTCCTTTTTCATGTTGATTTAGCTATTCGTACTCCTTTGCTCAATGGATTTATCAAGTATCTCAAAAAAATCCACCTGGAATTTCCACTGAGATTGCTTTGACTATGCTGGCTAACTTGGAGAGAACCTACATGTGGATCATATTAAGACATCTAGCCGAGGGCACGGTTGGTCTCATTTTTTTCAGATTATCTTCGATATCCTTTATTGGCATCTTAATGTTTTTTCCATCAAGGCCTATGCATCTTTGATTAAGTTGTTAGATAAACTATAGTTTTTGTTGCTATTGAGAACTGCGCAATTTTTTTAAAAATTATGTCTTCTTTGGCTACTACAGCGTTAGTGAAATGATATTGATTTTTGCAGGTCGATCTTATATCAACCAGGATAATCCCTTCTCTAGGAGCTTTACTGCCCTCTTTATCACGGGGGTGAGAAGTGTTATCAAAACATTTCAGCCGATTGTGAATACCGGTCACATGACCGACGCCAGCCCATTCCTAATATTTATCACCCTAATTGGCAAAGCGGCTGGTGTTGATCCGAGATAAAGACGGGTGAGCGCCCTGTAGACCTCCCGCGGGAGCCTGCTCCTCTAATTAAAGGCCAGCGGATCCGTCCTGGAGAAACCGATCGGGGTGTAATTTAAGACCAACGCGCACAGCCACGAGAGGGCGGTGAGTCCCCGCTCTCCACGGGGAGGGTCCCTGCGGAGGAGCACGTGGCCAGCAGGGGGCACTGTGACCGCGCCAGCACCTACTGTGTGCCGGGTGGAGCCACGCTGGAGGCAGGCGAGGAGCTCATGTTCCAGAGGTGGGGCAGTGGGGACAATCTAATCATTTCAGAGTAATAAGTCCCACAGAGAAAATAAATCCGGGTGACTGACGGTGGCGTCTAGGTAAGGGGCCCAGGGACGCCTGTCTGAGACTACACTGCGTCTGCATGCGGACCAGGGGCTCTGGGCAGAGGGATGGCGTCTGCGGGCCCTGAAAGGAGGGAGCCTGGGGGCGGGGGAGAGGGAGGGACAAGTGGTGATGAAGGACAGAGAGGGGAGGGATGAAGGCAGGGTGGCAACAGGTGGCGGGTCGTGATATGAAGGCGCCCCGGATAGGGTGGGAAGGGAGACAGGCAAGGCCGGAGCGGCGCGCAGGGCGCACGCTGGGGGTAAGCCGGGGACCAGAATACAGGCTCGGCCTTGCTTGCATCTGCGTAAAGACACACTGGGATACCACCAAGAAACAGGTGCAAAACGGTGAGCTTGCGGGGAAAGAGGGAGAGGGAACGAGTGCATGGAGACGTAGGTGAGATGGGGAAAAGCGTCACCTGGTCACCGAGCGGGAAACAGACCCCAGACCCTGGGAGGCAGGGAGCCCCCCAAGAGGTGAGGGCGGCAGGTCAGGTCCACTGTGTCCTTGGGGGCTTTACCGTGTCAGAGGGCTTGCAGGACGTCCTGCTGGCCAGGGATGGTGGCTGTAGGAGCTGGTGGTCCAGCCCCTCCTTATAATGATAAGGTTGATGACTGCTTATTATGTGCCTGGCGCTAGTCTGTGATCTGTGCATTTAAACATCACAATAACCCCGTGAGGCGGGTACCATTATAATCATCTTCATTTTACAGAGGTGGAAATGGAGGCACAGACAGGTTAAGCGACTTGCTCAGGATCACACAGCTGGGAAGTAGGAAAGACAGCATTTGAATCCACGCAGTAAGTGAGTCCAGGCTCATACCCACCACAGTATGCTGCTTCTCAATCCTTTCGTTGTAGCCTTGTTCTCCATCAAGTTGTATTGCCCTTTAGAGAGGATATCTCAGAGGGTTGTGAGCAGTCACTAACACTTTAGTCTGAATTAGCCAACCTCTTCCTGCCACTGAAGAATAGCAATCATCGCTATGGTGATATGGGCACTGGAGTGTAGGAGTTAAGTAGTTGCGCTCTGGGGTCAAAATGTCTGGGATTGAAGCCCAGCACCACTTCCAAGTTGTGTGACTCTCGGCAAACGACATCACTAATCTGGGCCTCGGTTGCCTCATCTGTGAAGTCTCCATTTTCCAGACGAGGAAACTGAGAGGCCCAGCCTGTGTGTGGCACACCCAGGACTTTACAACTTGGGTTTCGAGCACAAACCACCTCCACAAAGATGAGGAACCAAAACCAGGTTCTGTGAGAGGGAAGTTCAGAGTCCCCGAGGCCCAAGCGGGGTGTCTGGAGACGGGCCGAGGGGCTCGGATGGCAGGAGGAGGGGTTCCTCCATCTCCACACAGCCACCCTTGATGTGTTTGTGTGGAGGGAGGGGCACTGAGGTCTGTCTGTCAAGGACAGCAAGGCCACCTGAAGGGCTGGCCAGGCCAGGGCCCCCCCAGGCTCTTCTCCAGGGGCATCTTTCTTCCCGCTGGACTGGAGCTCAGACCCCCGGGAGAGGTGCCTGATCCTGGCAGGGGTGCCGGACGGCAGGGGGCGGGGAGACATGCCTGGTCCCGGGGTCAGGGGGCGGGGAGGAGCTCTGGCCCCGCCCCAGTCGGTAGGGCAGCCACAGCCCCACCCATCTCCTGACCATCCACAGCTGGGACCACGGGGACCACCAGAGCCGCTGTTCGAATACTCCAACATTCCCATAGTTCTCGGTAAATAACCACATCACAGCCCCTCCCCTGGACGCTTCAGGCCCCCCACGCCCCAGCCCAGAGCTGTCCCTAATCCAGCTCTGAGGGACTTGCCCATCTTGCTTGGTGGTCGGCCCTGCCAATATCTGGTATCTTCTCTGGCTCAGCCTCATGTCAATCCCTCCACCCCCAAGTTCAGAGTCCTCAGACACCCGGTACCCATTCCACACAAACTCCTATGCGTCCTTCAAAGCCCTGCCTCATTGTCACTTTCTTCAGGAAGCCCTCCTAAATGTCTCCCCCACCCCAAGAGTGAACGGCTCCTCCTACTCCCTGGGCTCCCAAGTGCCTCAGACCACTCAGCACACTTTGCTCTAACCCTCTGCACACAGGCCCTTGTCCCCCACCAGTGTGAACACCTTGATGCCAGGGACCATCTTCTGCTCATATTTGTGGCCTCGATACCAATGGCCACGCCAGCACATAATAAGTGCCCAATAAAATTCACGGAGCGGACGGATGGTTGGTTCATGGGGTGTTGTGGTGATCTGTGCATCTCCCCTGGCCTAGCGACCATGAGCCAGCGTTCCCACAGGGGCCCTGAGTGCCACCCACATGCCCGGGTCCCGGGAGGTGGGGACAGGATATGAGTCCCGGGGGTGGGAGGCCAACAGGGCCTGTTCTCATGCTCTCTGGCCTGGGAGGAGTGATTCTCCATCTGTCAGGGCCAGCTGCAGGCGCTGGGACACGAGGAGACACGGAGGGGGCGGGGGGGGGGTAGGGGGGGCCGGTGGGGGGATGCCCACAACGACCAGGGAGAGGACACACAGGCAAGCAGTGTTATTGTTACAGAACCATTAAATACAACTTACAAACAAGCCAGGATGGCCTGGGGGCGGGGGACACGAGGGCCATGGAGGCAAGAGAGGGTCAGGGTGGCGCGGTCCAGGCACGGTCCTGTGGGGGACTCAGGCTGCCGTCCCCCGAGAGGCTGGGCTGGGGGAGGCCTGACTGCTTGTGGAGGCCCCGCAGCTTCCCCAGCAGCTCCTGGATGAAGTCCTGAGGACAGGGTGGGGGTGTTGAGGACACAGAGAGGGGTGGGGCCCTACCTGGCCCAGCCCAGCCCCTCTGCCCTGGGCCCTCCTTCTCCAGCATCCTGGTCCGTGGGAGGACGCGGAGGTGGTTAGGGAGGGGAAGAGGCTACAGAGATGGAGGAGAATGTGATGGGGGTAGAAAGCGAGATGGAGACAGGGAAAGAGAGCAAAACGGAGAAAGAGACACAGAGAAGGAGAGATGGGGACAGATACAGAGAGAAAGATAGGGAGAGACAGAGACTGATGGGGACAGATATGGAGAGAAAGATAGGGAGAGACAGAGACTGCGAGAGACAGCGAGAGAGAGATGGAGAGAGACAGAGACCCAGACATGGAGACCAAAACAGAGACACAGAGACAAAGCGAGATGCAGAGCTAGAGAGAGAGACAAAGGGACTGAGAAAGATACTGCACCACAGAGACCTCAGCATGCTTCTCAGGCCAAGAGCTGACCAGGAGGGCCCCCAGGGACAGAGGCCTGGGCCAGCTCCAGGGCAGACAGACACACAGTGACGTTTGTCCCCCAGGCAGCCCAGAGCTGCTTAGAGAAACATGAATATTTTTCCCTTTTAAAGCAGGGAAGGAAGTGGGAGGGGCTGGACCAGGAGCCTCCGGGGCCTGGAAGGATGGGGGCCCCTGAGAGGTGGGGAGGGAGCCCCGGGGTGGCAGAGGCAGGAACAGGGGAGAGGGGCGGGGCAGAGGCAGAAAGGGGAGACAGACAGGGGAGGGTCCCGGGGGAGGAGATCCTGGAGCCCCCGTGGCAGATGGGAGAGAGAGGAGACAGGAGTGGGGAGGACAAAGAACACGCTGGACATGAGAAGAGGGCCCTGAGAGAGACGGGGGCTCCCCCAGCCCCTCTGCGTCCTGGGCACGGCCAGCTCCTCCCTCCTCCAGAGACCCCTCCCAGCAGGGTGCAGGGGCCCAGATCAGGGCCCGGAACAGGGACATCTCACCTCTGTGGGGTTCCTGCAGGACTTCAGGAGTCCCTAAACACCCCCGCCCCACAAAAAGAGAGAAAACAGTAAATGACTAACATCCACAGCCCTCCGGCCCCTTCCCTTTTCCAACAAAGCCCCAAGGCAACAAGACAAATGGAAGTCAGACTCCACGGTGGACTTCCCACATGGCTTCAGGGGAGGAACACAGCCTGAGGTTCTTATAGGGCAATTGGGGGCAGGGTTGATCCAGAGAGGGCAAGAAGGTCACACAGCATTTCCTGCCTCTAGGAGAGCACGGGCCGGAAGAGCAAGAACGCTGCAGCCAGACTGCATGGCTTTGACTCCCAGTTCTGCTCCTTCTGAGCTGTGTGACCCTGGGCCAGTAATTAAACCTCTCTGGGCCTCATTTTCCTCATCTGGAAAATGGAGATAATAATAGCGATAATAATGAAATGGAGATAGACCCTTCAGAGAGTTTCGTGAGGATTCAATGAGTTAAGAAGTGTAGAGCAATTGAAACAGGGCACAGCACATAGTTACTGCTCAGTAAACACCTTAACTCGTGCTGTGGTTTTTAGGGAGGTGCGAAGTCGAGGACGGCTTGGCTTCCCTTCCACCTACCTGGAGTTTCCGGCTTCGCTCCTCGTCGCTCTCTAATTCCAACAACTCATCAATGTTGACCTCGTCGGGCATGTCGGCCTCCTAGAGCAGGAGGGTGGGGTGGTCAGGTTCCCCCCCTACACCGCCTTTGTCCAAGGCTCTCGAGAAGCCCCGCTGGCTCCAGGGACCAGCTGGCGGCTTCCGGAGCAATAATGTGGCAGTCAGGGACAGCACCGCCTAGGCGGGACATCTGGGCCTTGGGGGGAGGAGTGACAGATGGGGTGACAGAGGCCCGGGGGCCTGTACCAGCTCGGATGCTGGGCCCCTGGGCCCTGGAGCCTCGAGGCTGGCACAGGTCTCCCTCCTTGGCCCCAGTTCCCACAGCAGGACACAGGCCCGGTCCAGTCTTGGAATGCGGGATTCTGAGCTTCAGGAGAGGGGCTGGCTCTGCCCTTTCAAGGAGAAGTCTAAGCACTACGTGCAGGGGAGGGCAGCGGGCAAGCCCGAGCCTGCTGGGGGCCGCCCTGGCCCAGGGGACAGGAATAGTGAGGAGGGCTCGGGGCCAACCCCGTGGACCAAAGCAAATCCCCGTGAGTCCAGGAAGATGACCACTGAGGCCCCCAAGGTGGGTGGATGGGTGGGTGGGATGAGCCAGGAGCCCAACTTTGAGCAGCCAAGAGGGGGACTCCTAGAATGGCCTCTTGGGGCAGAGGGCCAGCTGCAAGCTGGCTCAGCACCCCTGTGGGGGACAGGACCCAGCTGTCGGGGCAAAAAATCCGAGGCCACATATTTTTCCTTCCCCCATCCAAAGTCCTGCTGACTTCTCACAGGCACCAGGGCTGGGTGGTGGGGGCTGAGCGTATGGAGCACAGGGCTCAGCAAAGGATGGAAGGTGTATAAGGGTGTTACACGCCTGTGGCAGTCTCTGCGTACGAGCCAGAGCTGATGCCAAGGGCCAGGGCAGGCGTGAGGGTGCAGAGGGATGTGGCATCGTGTGGGGGGCTGGCACAAGGGCCTACAATTCTGCGGGTGTGAGGCGTGTGGCTCTCACTCAGCTGTGCTTGTCTCATCGTCATGCGTCTCGGGCAGCCGTAGTGCCCCCAGTCTGAGGACGACCTCATAGGAGGCACCTACCATCCGTACGAGCCCACCTGTGTGTCTGAGAACAGAGGGGCCTCGGGTCACTGGGAGGGGCCGTGACTTCTCCCACCTTCGTGCTGAGCGGAGGATTCATGCGTCCTGTGTCCGGGGACTTGTACGACCATCCGTGTCTGTGGTTGTGTTCCGCAGCATGTGTGTGTTGTACAAAGTGTGACTTCAAGCAGAGACTCAGGTGGAAGGTGCATGTCTGTCTGTTGCTTGTGTGTCAGCAGATGAGGCTGTAGCTTATGTCCCGTGTGCCCAGGGGCAGCTGTAGTTTCTGCCGTTGTGTGTCTGGACCCACAGCTTCCGCGGAGCTCTGTCTGGGGGTGGCTATCATGTCTGTTAGTTTATGTCTGAGTGGCCGCAGGATCTGTCATTGTGTTTGCATGTGGTTGTGTTTCGCCTGTAGGAGATAATGGATGGTTGTTCCTTGAGATATTTGGAGTCCGGGGTTAGCTGCTGTAGCTTGCACTGTCTGTGAGTCCTACAGCTTGTGCCAGTGTGTATCTATCAGAGCCGTAGGTGGAGTCCTTTTGTGTGGGTGTAGTTGTGTGTCTGCACGTGGCTGTGGTCTGTGCTATTGTGTCTGTGGGTGCCTGCAGCTGTAGCATATGTTGATCTGTAAGTGACCACAGCTTTCATCCTTGAGAGTCTGTGTATGGCTGTCGCTCCTGTCACTGTGTCTGTGAGAGGCCATGGCCTGTCATCCGGCACGTCTGTGAATGCTGCTGCTTCCTTTGCTGTGTGTTCCTGTGTGGCTGTATCTCTGCTGTCACCATGTCTATGTTTGGCTTTAAGACATCCTCCTCCCCCCACCCTTTCTCCAGATAGAGCCACTTTGCCTCCTCGCCCCTCCCATGCTAACCCTTGGCCCTGCCCAGGTGTCTGGACACATCTCTGGAGACTGAAGCGTGTGTGTCCACAAGCAGAGCGCCATCGAGGCTGGATGGCGGGGCCAGTGGGGCCAGCGAGCGCCTGGCCCCGGCTGTGCATCCTCTGGCGTGAGCGGGGCTGCGTGTGCCCCAAGAGCACAAGCACCCGGAAACCCCCGAGGGCCGGGGCGTCCGGCCGGGGTCTGCGGGTCCGGGCCGGCGCCACGCCCCACGCCCCTCGTCACCTCACCCTGCCGCGGTACAGCTCCTCCAAGCGCCCGTCGATCCACTTCTCCACGTCCAGGCGCCGCTGCAGCTCCCGCCGGTCGTACTTGACGGTGACACGCGCGTGCCGCTTCTGCAGCCCCCGGGGGCTGCCCCCCGGGCCGCGGGCCCGCGCCGGAGCCTGCAGCTTGCTCAGCACCCGCTTACCCAGCCGCTGCGCTGCCATCGCGGTGCTCCCGGGCCGGCCCCGCGCCGCGCTGTGCGCCCGCGCCTCGCGCCCGGGCCTCCACCGGCTGGACGGGGCGGGGCCGGCCGGGGGCGGGGGCTCGGGCTCGCGGGGGGAGGGGAGGACGGCCCCGCCCCGCCCCGGCCTCAGTTTCCCCGCCTGCAGCGCGAGCACTGGCCGCTGCGCCGGCGTGGAGCACGCCTCCGGGCACGGCTCAGGTGTGGGCGGGTCCCCGAGCCCCGGGCCCGGCAGGGCGGCGGGGTCTCCCGGGGCCGGGCTCCCGGGGGCGGGGTCCCGGGACGGGCTCTCGGGACCGGCTTGTCTGCGCCCTCTGGCGGCTGCAAGGGATGGTGCAGGAGCCCCGGTGCCACCTTCTTTCTCAGCAAGGAAAAGTCAAGCCGTGTCCCCACCGCGCATCATTTATTCGTTCTTTCATTTATTCGCTCATCCCTGCGTCCATTCGTTCACTTATTCACTCTATTCAACGAATGTTCATTCGACATCGTGACATCTGGGCTGTTAGCCCATCTCTCTTTCTCTCTCTCTCATATCACACTCTTTACACCAGATCGCATCCAGGGGGTCCTCTCTCCCCCAGGTCATTCCAGGTTCCCCCTCCCCAGTCTCTCTCCCCACGGGTTCCTTAGTGACCTGTGCAGAGGGAGACGGCCGCTGCGCCCTTCAGTCCTCTCAGCTTTCTGTAGCTATTTATATAGCAAAATCTCGATAAGATGTCTTCTCCCCAAATACACACACACACACACACACACACACACACACACACATGTTACCAGGCACTGTTCAAGGCCCTGGGGATAGAGCAGTGGACAAGACAGACAAGCCTGGTCCTCATGGAGCTGACGTTCTTGTGGTGGAGACAGGCAGTAAACATAAGTAAGTACAGTATATTATACAGTTTATTAGAATATGATAAATTCTGTGGAGAAATAGGAAGCTGAAGAGAAGTGGAGTGAGGGTGGGGCCGCACTTTTATTGAGGGGGACCAGAGCGGTCCTTTACTTTACAAGTCTGCTCACTTCTAATTATAAGCTGCAAGAATGATACTTTAAAACTTAAATTTGGCCGTGTCCCTCCCCCGCTTAAAACTATCCATAATTAGCCAATGGTTTCTTAGATATGGCACCAAAAGTACAAGCAACAAGAGAAAAAATAAAGTGGCCACCATCAAAATTACAAACTTCTGTGTTTCAGAAGACATCAGCAAAGTGAAGAGGAGAGACGACCCACAGAATGGGAGGAAAAAATTGCAAATAATCTATCAGCTAAAGTACTCATACCTACAATAAATAAAGTTGTGCAACTCAAAAATAGTAAGACAAATAACCCAATTAAAAAATGGACAAAGGATCTGAATAGACATTTCTCTTAAAAATTTACAAAAGCCGATGAGCACATGAAAAGATGCTCAACATCATTAGCCAGCAGGAAAATGCAAAGGAAAACCACAGGGAGCTACCACTTCACACCCAGCAGGATGGCTATACATTTTTTAAATGGAGAACACCAAGTGTTGGCAAGGAGGTGGAGAAGTCGGAACCCTCACACATTGGCGGTGGGAATGTGAAATGGTGCAGCCACTTTGGAAAACAGTCTGGCAATTCCTCAAAAGGTCAGGGTTACCATAGGGCCCGGCAAGTCCACTCTTAGAGACGTACCAGAGAATGGAAGACAAACGTTCACACGGAAATGTGTCTGTGAATGTTCACAGCAGCATTGTTCATAACAACCCAGCCCACCAAGCAATGAGCCGATAAATAAGATGTGGTGTATCCATACAACGCAGTGTTATTTGGCAAGGAAAAGAAAGTAGGTTTTTATACACACTACAACATGGATGAAGCTTGAAAACATGCTAAGCGGGAGAAGTCAGACACAAAAGGCCACGTGTGGTCTGACTCTATTTGTATGAAATGTTCAGAACAGGCAAGTCCACAGACGGAAAACAGGTTAGTGGCTGCCTGGAACTGAGAGAATGGGGGAGAATGGGAAGTGACTGCCGAAGAGGCTGGGGTTTCTTTGGAGGATGATGAAATGTTCTGTAATTGATTGTGGTGTAGTTGCACAACCCTATGACCACATTAAAAACCATTGAACTGTACAGTTTAAAGGGTGAATTGTGTGGTAGGCGAGATATACCTCATTAAAGCTGTTATTTTAAAAACAAAAAAGAAAACAACTGTCCAGAGCTCCTCATTGCCCTGAGGCTGAAGGCCAAGCTCCTAAATTTACAATCACCGCTCTGCCAGGCACGTCCTCATCTCAGCCTCTTCATACTGGCAGTTCCCTCTGTCAGGAAAGGTCGTCCTAGGATGATATCGACAGGGCTCGCTCCTTCATCTCCCCCAAAGGCACCTGTGCAGGGAGGTCTGCCCTGACCGCCCTGCTTCATATTGCAATTCCTCTGCCCTTTACCTGGCTCTCTGTTTCATCCGTAACACTCATTATCTTTTTTTTTTTTTTTTTTTTTTGCTGTGGAAGAGTTGCCCTGGGCTAACACCTGTTGCTAATCTTCCTCTTTTTTCTTTGCTTGAGGAAGATTAGCCCTGAGCTAACATCCATGCCAGTCTTCCTCCACTTTATATGTGGGTTGCCCCCTCAGCATGGCTGAAAAGTGGTATACGTCTGTGCTGAGGATCCGAACCCGTGAACCAGGGCCGCCAAAGCAGAGCACGCCAAACTTAACCACTATGCAACCCCCTCACTATCTTTTAACATTGTGTGTAATTTACTCATTTTCTTTATTGTCCATTTTCCAACTAGTGGTGTACCAAAGGGAGGGCAATGGGAGTGGTCCACCTTGGGGACAGGCAAAAAGGGGTGCGCTGTCTGGATAAGAATTTAAACATAATAATAAAACTGACCAAAAGTTGGTCAAGTTTTTCCTATAGCACGAACTGACAATTCTACATGGTATCACTGATAACATGATCCTCCCACCCCCAGGAGAAAACCTTTTGTTAGTCTTATAATTGTCACTTACTAAACAATTCATGCAATTACTGTTCAGTTTTAATAATATACATGTAAGCTTCTAATTAGATATTTTTATTACTCTACCCTTTCATAAACATTGGATCTCTATTAGTGTTCTAGCGCCGTATAATAAGTTATCACAAACTTAGTGCCTTAAAAAGCACACACTTATTATCTCACAGTGTTGCTGGATCCAGGCCAGTCATGGCTTAGCTGGGCCCTCGGCTCCAGGGTCTCACCAGGCTGCTATCCAGGTGTCAGCGGGGCTGCTGTCTCATCAGAGGTTCAAACGGGGCAAAATCTGCTTCCACCTGCTTGAGGTTGTAGGGAGGAGGTCTTCATTTTCTTTTTTTTTTTTCTTAGAGGAAGATTAGCCCTGAGCTAACCACTGCCAATCCTCCTCTTTTTGCTGAGGAAGACTGGCCCTGAGCTAACATCCGTGCCCATCTTCATCCACTTTCTATGTTAGACGTCTCCCACAGCATGGCTTGCCAAGCTGTGGCATGTCCACACCCGGATCTGAACCGGTGAACCCCGGGCCGCTGAAGCAGCACGTGTGCACTTAACCGCTGCGCCACTGGGCCGGCCCCAGTCTTCATTTTCTTGCTGGCTATCAGTGGGGGCTGCTCGCTGCTCCTGGAGGCCACTGACAGTTCCTTCAATGTGGCCTTCTCCGTAGGTCCTCTCACAGTGTGGCAGCTTATTTCCTTCAAAGCCAGCAATGGAGAGTCTCTCTTGCCCGTCCTCTGAGACGGAGTCTTACACCATGTAAAGTCATCACAAACCTCCTTTGCCGTATTCTCTTAGTGAGAAGCACGTCCCAGGACCTGCCCACACTTGAGAGGGGGGGATTATACCGTCTATGAACATGGGGGCTGCTCAACCTCTGTTTGCCAGAGTATTCTATAGAGAAGTTACTGGAGAGAACTCCTAGGTATACTGTTGACCTCTGACATATGAAGACTCAGCTATATGTGTTCATTTTGAAAATAAGTTCATAACAATTTGGAATCATTTGGGCTTGTATCACGCACAGTTTCAATCTTCAATCTCTGTGATTCTACATGGTCTTGTGTTTAAGTAATAGATTAGAAATTAAAATGAGGGGCCCGCCTGGTGGCACAGCAGTGAAGTTCACACATTCTGCTTTGGCGGCCTGGGGTTCACCCGTTCGGATCCCAGGTGCGGACATGGCACCACTTGGCAAGCCATGCTGTGGCAGGCATCCCACATATAAAGTAGAGGAAGATGGGTACAGATGTTAGCTCAGGGCCAGTCTTCCTCAGCAAAAAAAGAGGAGGATTGGTGGCAGATGTTAGCTCAGGGCTAATCTTTCTCACACACACACAAAAAAGGAAGTTAAAATGATAGTGTTACCGAACCAGGTTCGTTTTGCCCGCTGCACAATTATGCCAATCACCAAGACGATGAGTTTGCAAAGAGAAAGGATTTAATCACAAGGCAGCCAAGCAAGGAGGCAGGAGAATCAGTCTCAGATCCACCTCCTTGAAAATGAGGACTCAGGGATATTTATGGGGTCGGGGGAGAGGTGGTCTGAATGTGGGGATAGACGTCGGGAGGTGAGGAGAGTTGAGGTAGCTGATGATCCACACAAGCGTAGTCCAGCTACATGGCTCTTCGCAGGACACGTGTTCACAAAATGGCCCTGTTCCCATGATCTGAGGGTGGCGTTTTTTGCTCCCTGACGTCAAAGAGTCGTTTATCAGTCATCCGTGCAGGCCCACAGGCCCCGTTGATGAGTTGGTGGTCTCAGCTGGCCTGAACTGCACAAGGAGTCAACTCTCAATTCCTGAAAAACCTGAGCACCCCACCCGTTACCAGGGTGACCCATGCGTCAGAGATGCTATCTGTAGGGTGAGTTTCAGTAACGCATTATCTAACGACTTTTGCAAACAGACAGCTAAGCCTAGTTAAAGCAAGTTGGCCCCCAGTTTCAGCAGCACAAGGATCGGAAGGATGAAGAAACTATTCTGTCATTCTATGTATTCTTTTGGAGTTTTCTGTTTAAAACTGAAAACAGTGAATCAGGGTACG